ACTTAGCAGCCTCAGCCACACGTGTGCCCTCCTGGCTGGCACCCTCGCCCACAGGAGACAGACGACACCAGGGGCTGTGGCCTGGGCTCTCATCTCCCAGGGAGCCAGGCCACTGCAGACTGCAGCAGGTGGCTGCAGCCTCCTAAGGCTGCACGGCTCTCCTCACACTGCCTCTCCTCTCAGCCCCACACTCACGGTCTCTGACTTGTCCCCTGCCAGGTCCCTTCTGCCTCCAGATGGTGAGGTCTGGGACTGCAGAACCCACAGGATGCCATGGGTCACTCAGATGCTCCAGGAGCCCTAACTTGACCCCATCTGCAGAGCCCCCTTTGCCTAGAAAGGGCCACATTCACAGGCCCCAGGGATTCGGACAGGGCACCTCTGAGGCCAGCCCCAGAATCCAAGCACCACACAGCACCAGCCACACGGTCTCAGGCCAGAGAAACCAAGGCTTGCAAATGACCAGCCAGGCTGCACGGGACTCGAGGGTGGTGAGCACAAGTGACATGCTATGGGACATGGTCCTGCTCCCTTTAGGCAGCTGGAGGCCTCAAGGTCCCAGAGCATCTTCTTGGAGGGAGCTGGGTGGGGTCAGCCTGGGGCAAGCATGGGCCACATGGGAGAGGCAGCAAGCAGAGGCTTCCCACAGGGGAAGGTGACCGGGGTTTTCAAGAGAAACCATGTGTCTAGGTTTGAGTGTGTGTGGCCTACCTGGCTGTTCAGAGTAGGCCACTAGGGCAGCCATGCCCAGCCCCCAACCAGTGCCAGCTGCCTCCCTCCAGGTCCCCATGGAGCCAGGGCACAGATGCCCAGCCCCTGGCTATGACCTGGCACACCCCGATGCCATCCCCAAGAGACCCCAGCATCTGCAGGGGCTCAGGTGGGAGCAAGCACTGAGGGGCCAGTAATTTCCTGAATCTGACAAGTCCCCCCCAAAATGCCCCTGGCCAGATCACCAGGTGACACCAACAGGTTTCCTCACCCAGCACCTTGTGCAGACCCATCCCAGGCCAGGGCAACAGGGACGCCACAGCTACCAGGACAGAGTCCTTTGTGGCCCAACCAAGTACATTCCAGTCACTCTGAAAAGGCCCTGAGGAGCCCTCCAGATCTAGACACTGACCACTGCCATGGAACCCCTGGCCTTCACACAACAAGGACGCTGTGGTGGTGAGAAAACTCTGAGTGTCCTGCCCTGCCGCCCCAGGACCAGCACCTAAGAGCCCAGGATTGACCTGTGGCCAGGGCAACTGCTGCCCAGTAGGAAAGCCTTCGCTCAGCTTACCTGACCTGCAAAGGGAGAAGCCTCTGGCACCAGGCAGGACGGGCAGCAGCAGGGATGGACGGCAAGCCAGTGCCAGGCCACTGCCCAGGGCAGGGACTTTCTCCTTCACTTGTCAGCTCACCTGCCCTGGCCGCTCCACCCGGCAACAGTGAGTCAGTTCCATAAAAGTTTACGGCCTATTGCAGACCCTCACTGGCCCCCAGCCCACGGCCGGCCTTCAGCCCTGATGGGGCGTGGCCCTCCCAGGAAACCAGAGTGACTCGCCTTCTGGAACCCGGTGTACCTCACTTTCGAAATGCAGCAGGGCCCGGGTCAAAGGCCGAGGCGCCACCTCTTTTGGTTTCACTTAGGGATTGTTCTGGCTTGGGGTGGGCCAGTTTTGAGAGAGGGACCTCACAGCCTTCTTTGAGGCCAGTGCCTGAATGCAGAAGCCCAAGGCAGGCACCCCTCACTAAGAGTCCTAAGCCCCAGGTCAGTTGCTCCAGGAGGCGCTCCTTGTCCCCTGAAGCAGAAGCATCCTGGAGGACAGCTGGGGCCGGGGTGACCCTCCATCTCTGGCCTCCTGGGGGTCCAGGGCAAGGTTCCAACCAAGTATCCAGATCCCTGGTGTGAGCTGGCTGCAGGGTCAGGTGGTGGCCCATTTCCAGCCCTCTGGTCACAACATACGAGTGGGGCTTGATTCTGAAGTTGCACATACCAAAAAATTTGCCTGTTTAGAGTCTACAACTCACTGGGTTTTAGCACATTCTAAGTTGTACAGTAATCCCATCTATCTAGGTCCAGAACATTCCATCACCCCAAAAGGAATCTTTGTCCCCAAGAGCAGTCACCCCATCCCTCCCCTGCACCCATGATCCCCTCCCCATCTCTGGATTCACCTGTTCTGGACATTTCCCGTCTGCAGGGTCATACACTGTGACTGACTTTGCTTCTGAATCTCACTGAGCATGCTTTTGAGATTTATCACGCTACAGAGCACAAACAGCGTGCCTGACCTTCCCAGAGCGCCCAGGAGCTCAGAGCGTGCAGATGCGGAGCACTGAAATCGACTCTTGGCTGTAACCCAGGTCTGTCCCCACCTGTATCGCAGTCCCAGGACAGGCGACCATGCCTCCTAGGGTGAGAAGGAAAGGGGGACCCACAGAGGGGCAGTATCCATTGAGAGTAACCTGGGGGATCTGACCTGGGGATGGGAGCAAGCGTCCCCAGAGACAGGCCAGGGAGGTCTACCCGCAGGGCCAGAGTCTGGTGTCTTCACCCTCAGACCACACCCGCCCTTCCAACATGCCATCTGACCACACGGCCCTCAGCTGTGGGAAGAGTGCCTAGTGTTGCTCCAAGCCTGCCCATGTGAATCATACACACACGAGCAACACACTTATACACGCAACCCACACTCACAGACCCAATCCCTCACAGAATGCACGTGCACAGGCGAACAGGCACCCAGACACACGTGCCCCTCAGAGGTACACAGACCTGGGGCTGGCTGGTGCCAGGGGCACCTCCACAGTCCAGCGTACCACCTTCCAGTGTGTTTACAATTTCAGATCACGTTATGCCCCCCAGAAAACGGGAAGAAGCTGGCCCCACCCCTTGATGGGAGCCTGGAGACCAGGCATGCTGGTCAACACAGTTGCCTCTTTATCCGGGAGCTCTGTCAGCATTTCCTGTGGGCCCTGCAGGAGGGGCGTCTATAACACTGCTGGGACTCTGGGCAAGGGCAAGCCGGCCACATGGAGGAGGCAGGATTGTGACCCATGGCTAGCAGAGACCTTCTGCCTCTCAGTTTCCCCAGCAGGCTGGAGAGCTGAGATAGGCCCTAGTCAAGTGGCTGGCAAACCTGCAGGATGCTCCTGTCTCCTACCTACCTGGGGCCCCACCCAGCCCAGCCCCTGGTCCAGGCCCTGGGGATCCCACCCCCTTCTGCCACAGCCCTTCTCCCTGCTGGGGCCCTGCTGTTCCAGGTAGGTATGAGGGAGCAGACTTTTACTGGAATCCCCAGGTGGGACACAGGCTGCCCAGCCCTCCTGCAAACAGAGGCCCCATGACCAGCCCCTGCCTCAGCCGTCCCACCCACCAGTGGTACAGATCTCACATTCCAGCCTTCTCTGAAAGGTCTCTGCAGATACCCAGGGCAGACACCTCCTCCGGCCTCCGGGGCCTCCCCTGGGAAAATCCAGGGCGAGGACAATCAGGAAGCCTATGAGAAAGAGGGCACTGGGGAAGTAGGGGTGGGGCTGCCAGCCTCCTTGGGGTCCAGGGCCTACTACTCTGAAGCCAGTCCCCAACAGGGTGCACACAGCTGCCTCAACCTGAAGGGAACCTACATGTTCACAGAGGCCCTGCCTCAGTCTCTCTGGAGTCTCAACACCTGTGACAGGCAGGGCCCTCACCATGCCAGGTTCCAGGGTCTGACACCTCACCTGACAGCAGGTCAACTAGGTTCCAAACTCAGATCAGCCCAAGATGGCCCCCCTGCCATACTGGAAAACCTCACTGTCCCTATCTCCCAGCAAGCACTAAGGCCAACTGGCTTCAGGGCCAGGCACCGACTCACAGGGCACAGGGCACAGACAGCACCAAACACCCCTGAGCAGGAAGAACACTTGGAGCAGGCAAGACCCACAGGCATTCCAGGAAGCAGAGCTGGGGGATGCCCCAGCTACACAGTTTACAGACCCTTCTTCTTTCCAGAATGTTCATCACGTCACTTAGGGAGACCTCTGTACATCTCTGAAGGCTCTGGGCAGCCAGGCCAGTCTGGATTGGGCCCCAGGCCCCAGTGGCCTCATTCCCAGAGCCTGGAGGGGTGGGAAGAGAGCTCTACCCGGGCAGGACCTACCTGCCAGGCCTCCCCTGCCTCGTCCACCCACACACTCCCTTGGCTCATCTCACATCTCTGCCCACCACCTCCCTGGTCCTTGGAGTCCCCCAGTTTCTGGGGGAGACACATCCCCACACACAGATAGACACAGTAAGGCTGTCCTGGGGATCAGCTAACACCAGTGAGCCCCCATCCAAACAGGGGGCCCACCCAAGGAAACCCAAGAAGAGGTGTGCCTGCCCCTACTAGAGGGCTGAGGACCCCTTCCCAGGAAGACTGTGCTGGGTCTGGGCAGGAGGGGGCACAATCCTGGGGTCATGGGGCTGGTAGAGAAAAGAGCTCATCCAGACCAAGAATTTGGGGTCACCAGGCACCCAGAATTAAGAGAAACAAGAAGAGAGGGGTCAGGATGCTGGGGAAAAGCGGATTCAGGGCCACCTGGAGGACTCGGTGACAAGGGCCACCAGGAAAGGGAAGGTCAGGGGTCAACACGGAGCCTGGGCTTGGGATGCACCGACAAGAGCGGGAAAGAGGTGGAAGGGTCGCAGAGAAGGTCGGGGTCAAAGTTCGCGGCGGGGAGCAGGGTCCGGGTTCGCCGGGGGACCGGGTGGGGGACCGGGTCGCGGCGCGGCGCGGCGTCAAACTTCGCTCGCAGGAAGAGGGGGTGGAGAGGAGGGATCCAGGGTCGCGGCGCAGGGCGGGGCCGGGACGCGCGGAGGGCGGGGCCGGACGGGGGTCGCCGCCGCGCACCCCCGGCCCCTGGGGACCCCGGCCCCTCTGGCTCCCGGCCCGGGACGCGGGGAGCGCGGGGCCGCGCGGGGCAGAGCGCGCTGGGCCGGGCGCGGGTCGCGGCGGGGCCGGGGCGGGGATCGCGGCCGGACGCCTCACCTCGGACCCGAGTGCGGCCGGGCGGAGCCCGCGGCGCCTCAGTTTCCCCGAACCTCAGAGTGGCCGCCGCTCACTTCCGGGTTCCAGGCGCCATCTTTGGGACCCGCGCACTTCCGGTCACGCCGCGGGGCGGGGCCCGTGGGCGGACCCAGGGGCGGGGCCCGTGGAGGGGCGGGGCCTCGAGCCCTGGGTGCGAATCCCGCCGCCCGGGTTTGCTGCCCCGCGGCCCGTGCTAGAGCTCGGGGCGCGGCGCTCCAGCCTCTGCCCGCCCCCGGCACGGCCCTCGCACCCGGGCCGCCGGCTCTGCCCTCCACCTTGACTGCCTCGCCCCATAGTTCTGTTGGCCGTCTGCCTCCCTCCCCAGGTACAGTGCCAGGCGCCCACCCGGGGACGCGATCGGGGTCCCGTAAGTGCCAGGGCCACTTCAGGGGAGCAGCATCTTTTCGGCAGGGCCAGAAACCTCTGGCTCCCCTGCCCTGAGCCTTCCAGGGGCCTGAAGACGACTGTCAGCATCTGCTTCGCTGCAAGGAGGAGTGGGGGACCGGGTCGGGTCGTGGCTCAGGTGGTCCTGGCAGCGTTCCTGAGACTCCGGCGGGAAGTGGACCCACTGGGGCCACAAGGCCGCTTCAGCAGACCCGCTGTGGGAGGCGCCCCCACAGCTGGGCTTCAGGGACCACCAGCCAAAGGCCCTGCACCCGTTCCAGCCCCTGAGATGGGTTCCCTGTCGTGGGCTGGGGTAGTCATCGAGATGTTGCCGGTGCTGCTGGGCGCCGGCCTGGAGCTGGGCAAGCTGGGGGCCCAGAGGAAGCCGCTGTCGGGGGACTGAGAGCCCGTGCCAGGCACTGCCACATGCTTGGCCGAGTCCAAAGAGGATGGAGTCTCTGCCTAGGGCTTCGAGGATGGCTGCGTCGTGGAGAGGATCCTGAAGCTGAGGTTCTGAAGTGCAGATAGACAAAAGGAGGAACAGCCATGCAGGCAGAGTCAAAGCTGTTCAGAGCCCTGGTCTGGCCTGCGATCCCAGTGACTCGGGGAGGCCCAGGAAAGAGGATGACTCGACAAGACCCTGCCTCAACATAAAAAATAAAAGTGGCCGGAGGTAGGGCTAGGGTTGTGGCTCAGCCAAGAGCGCTCGCCTAGCTCGTGTGGGGACCTGAGTTCAATCCTCAGCACCACATAGAAATAAGTAAATAAAGGCATTGTGTCCAACTCCACCTAAAAAATATGTTAAAAAAATATCATGGTTTGCACATGAGATGATCCTATACTTGAAGACCCAAAGAGCTCCACCCTGAGACTTCTGGAACTAATAAACTCAGCAAAGAAGCAGGTAACAAAAAACAACAGCTTTCCTAAAAACCAACAATGAATCTGCTGAAAATGGAATCAGGAAAACAATTTCATTCATGATAGCTTCAAAAAAAAATTAAACACCTAGGAATAAATCTAACCAAGGAGGTTTTCTACAATGAAAACATAGAACCTTGAAGAAAGAAATTGAAGAAGATACAAGAATATGGAAAGACCTCCCAGGTTCGTGGATAAACACATCTACAGCCATCTGATCCTGAACAACAGCGCCAAACACATCCATTGGCGAGAAGATGACCTTTTTAACAAATGGTGCGGGGGGGAAAACTGGTCATTTGTGTGTAGAAGAATGAAACTATACCCTTATCTCTCACCCTGCCCAGAAATCGACTCAAAATGGATCAAAGACTTTGGAATTAGACCAGAAACTACGCAACTCTTAGAAGAAAACATAGGGTCAACACTCCAGCATAGGCACAGGCAACGATTTTTATTTTTGTACTGGGGATTGAACCCAGGGGCTTAACCACTGAGCCACATCCCCAGCCCTTTTTATTTTTTATGTAGAGACAGGGTCTTGCTAAATTGCTCAGTCTGGCTTTGAACCCTCCTGCCTCAGCCTTCTGAGTTGCTGGGAAGACAGTCATACACTACCACACCTAGCTTCCAACAACTTTCTCAATAGGAACCCCAAACCTCAGAAGATAATGCCAAGAGTTAATAAATAGGACAGCATCAAATTAAAAAGTTTTTGCACAGCAAAGGAAACAGTTAAAAATGTAAAGAGACAACCTACAGAGTGGGAGAAAATCATTGTCAGCTACTCTTCTGACAATATTAATATCCAGAATACATAAAGAACAAAATCTTAACACCAGAAAACCAAATAATCCAATTGATAAGTGGGCAAATTAGTTAAACAGACACTTCTCAAAAGAAGAAATACAATGGCCAACAAATATTTTTTAAAAAGTGTTCAACATCGTTAGCAATTAGGGAAATGCAAATCAAAACTACACGGAGCGGGGCACCATGGCTCACACCTGTAATCCCAGCAGCTCTGGAGGCTGAGGCAGGAGGGTCTCTAGTCCAAGGCCAGCCTCAGCAGTTTAGTAAGGACTTCCTCAAAAAATGAAAAGGATTGAGGGTGTGGCTCAGTGGTTAAGCACCTCTGGGTTCAATCCCCAGTTCAAAAAAAACCTAACAAACACAGAATTCATGATCTCATGTCACATCAGTCAGAATGGCAGTCATCCAGAGCACAGACAATAGGGCTGGGGCTGTACATCCGTGGTAAAACGCTTGCCTTGCAGTGGGAGGCACTGGGCTTGATCCTCAGCACCACATTTAAATAAATAAATAAAATAAAATAAAGGCATGCTGTCCATCCACAACTACCAAAAAAAGTTTAAAAAGTTGAAAAAAAAAAAAAAAGAACACAAACAATAGTAAATGTTCCAGGGCACATGAAGAAAAGGGGCAGTTTTGGGGTCTGGGGCTGTGGCTCAGTGTGGAGCCCTTGTCTAGCATGTGTAAGGCCCTGGGTTCAATTCTCAGTACTGCGTTAAAAATAAATAAAATAAAGGCATGTTGGCCATCCACAACTACAAAAGAATTTTTTAAAAAAGGGACACTTTTTGGGGGTGCTTTTTGGGGGTGCCAGAGACTGAACTCAGGGGCCCTCGACCACTGAGCCATATCCCTGCCCTGTTTTTTATTTTATTTTTTATTTTTTTAAGGGTGGAGAAAACCATTTTATTTTTTTAAGGGTGGAGAAAACCATTTTATTTTTTTTAAGAGAGAGAGAGAATTTTTAATATTTATTTTTTAGTTTTCGGCGGACACAGCATGTTTGTTTGTATGTGGTGCTGAAATCCTCCTGCCTCAGCCTCCCGAGCTGCTGGGATTACAACCACTATGTAAATGACACGGAGGCTCCTCAAAAGACCAGGCATGGGCCACCATGGCCCAACCGTGCCTCTCCTTGGCGTTTACCCTGAAGAATTAGTCCTCACACTACAGTGACCCACGCACACCCATGTGTATAGCAGCACAACTCACAACAGCCAAACTACGGAACCAGCCCAAGAGTCCACCGGCGGATGAATGGACGAAGGAAACGTGGTGTAGACCCACGATGGAGTCTTATCATCCATAAAGGAAAAGGAGTTCGAGTCATTGGCAGGAAAATGGATGGAACTAGAGGACATTATATTAAGCAAAATAAGCCAAACTCCAAAGACCAAGGGCCACATGTTTTCTTCCCTTCATAGGTGGAAGCTAGAGAGGGAAAAGGAAAAGAAAATTGGGGTAGGGACCTGGTGACCATCAAAGAGCGGTCAGTGGAAGACAGGGACGAGGCGGGGAGGCGGGACGGAGGGAAGGGCTGCGAGGAAAATGGGCCACATTATGTTGTCCTGTCATGTGCCTGTCCAGATACCGGACGGTTTCCATCATTAGGTACCAACTATCATGCAGCACCCGAAGAATGAGAAAATGAAAGCATGTGACCTGCGTGATTCAGGCCAAGGGTCCTGGTGATCAAACCAGAAAGACCGGATGCAGCAGAGGAAACGAGGCCCAGAAGGGAGTGGGGGACCGGGGGGCTCCACTTGGGGATGCTCAGATGTTGGCAGTTTGGGTTGTGATCTTGAAACTGTCTTTCTGTCTGTCTTCTTTTTCTTCCTACTTTTTTGCGGTGCTGGGATGGACTCTGGGGCCCCCGCGCGTGGGTACAGCTGTGTTCCAAAGTCAATGAAAGCAGCTGTACTGAGGGACCCCCGGCACTCGGGATTCAGGGTGCTGGGCCCACATGGGGATGTGTGGTGTCTCCTGGTGTCCCCATCTCCTCCCACTTCCACAGTCCTGTGGGGTCCCGAGTCCCCTGCAGGAGCCAGCCAGTGCCTGCGTGGGGTGGGGCCCGTGGGTGGAGGCTGACATCCCGGGCTCTTCCCAGGGGAACCCAGGCCCAGGGCTGTCCGTAGCCCACCCTGCACGTCTCCCTCAGGAAAGCACGGGGCCTCTGTGGCCTGTCTGCCCAGGCTGGGGCAGGTCCAGCCCTCTCAGCAGGCAGGAACCTGCCAAGTCCTGGGATGTCTGGGGAGTTAGTCAGCCGGGGGTTTCCGAGGAGTCACCGGAGTCACCGCAGCCTGGAGAGCAGTGGGGACTGAGCTCCGGTGCTCAGGAAAGTGAGTGCACCTCTCTGTGTCGCACTTTCTTCCCCCGTACCCAGGACAGGGCAGTCCCATGAGGTCCCTGCCAGCGGGCGGGCGGAGACTCCTACCTGCACGGGGCCTGGTGGTCTTTATCTTTGTATTTTCAGTGCTGGGGACGGAACCCAGGGCCTGTGCATCCCAGGCCAGCACTCGCCCCTGAGCCCCTCCTCAGCTTTCATGTCAAACAGCCCAACTCCACGAGAGCCACAGCTTCCCCACGCAGGAGCCCAGCCCAGCCCAGCCCCCGGGGCCCGCCTGGGCGGCAGGATGGACTTGAGGCTTTGTCCACTCTGAGTCCCCGGGGGACAGAGGCAGGGAGGGCAGGAGCCTGGGGGTGGCAGGCAGCTCTTGGGTGTTCCCCAGGTGAGGCGGGCAGGTGAGCACTTCTGGCCCAGCCAGAGGGGAGCCGCTTCCTGTTTCTCCCCGTTCTGGAAAGTCCCCGCATTCCCGAGCCCCGAGCCCCTCCTTCCTGCAGGGGCCCCTCACCACTTCTGCTTTCCACCCTCTTCCCTGAGGCCCCAGCCTGGCCACACCAGCCGCCCTCCTCCTCTCCTGCCGCCCCAGTCCAGCCCTCTTGGTGTGAGGAGGGG